GAGGTACTACTGTAAACGTTTGTAATACTTGTTGAGATTAATAAGTCTAATTTCCTCCCTCAGTGAAGAATGGTACTCCTCATTTCTTCAGAGTGCCGCGCGTGATCCTCATCAGCCGGCAGTTCGTGCTGTCTACTGCCATCGACGCAGCGCAGGTACCTGCAGGATATGCACTGTTGGTATACATTCTTAAAATATTATTTTATTCTCCTTTTGAACCCTTCAGATGTATTGGGTATCACAGACATAGCGAGCAGACGACCTGTTTGCTCGTTTGCCTCCCAATTCCGAAAATTACGAGATTACCAATCACTACCCCTCTCTAGTCTCCCCAATTCCCAAACCGACACAATCTTCAAATTTCCAATTCCCAAAAGGCCGGTAACGCACTTGTAACGCCTCGGTGTTTGAGGTGTCCATAAGCGACGCTATGCTTACCATCAAGTGATCCATCTGCTCGTTTACCAGCTTATTCCGTATTTTTCCCACGGTTGTCGTAAAAGCCAACTAAGGGTGCAGTTCTATTGAAGTGGAGCAGACCAGGGGGCTTACTCTTGAACCCAATTCCGATCGATCGACATTGGTATTGTGAAATTTCGTACTCTTGAGGTGCGACACTAGCGCTCATTGCATCCGTATTGCGTGGATATTGAATGAAATAAACGGTATTGAGTTTGACTTTATATTCCGTACTCTGAATGCTATTTCAACAGCTACGAAAGGGGTTGTACAGTTTTGACATAGAATAATTATTGAGATTTTATTGGTTGTAAATTGCATTGACATTGAAATTGGTTTCAAGAGTAAGCACCCTGAGCGCAGAAGACCTGTGCCACGACTCAACAAACACATGGCTTGAAATCCACATCACTTCTCCATTCCGCTTCAAAGGAACCGCGCCCTAAGAAAGACTTTCGTAAATGATGACTACACATTTCACACAGACCAGGCAGCAACGCTGTCTGTAAGCTCCTTTCCGCACTAGCGGTCAACTGCGCGGCTAGCCGCTCCCTGCGGTTGGCCGCTTTTCCAATTTAATATGCAACCGCTATGGCAACCGCGTCTGTCGATACGAACCGCCTAGGCGGTCAACCGCTAGTGCGTAAGGGGGCTTAATCCTTTGAGTACCGTCATTATAGACACAATTAAAGAACAATAGGTTGCGGTCACCGGTGTCCTCGCGGTGTTTGACAGTTTAAACTATAATTTCCATCTGCAAAGCGAGGAGATAACTTGCTTGTGATAACTTGTTTTATGTAGAGGTCCTTCGTCCAGCAGTGGATTGCTACAGGCTAAATAGATTTTCAGGTTAAGTGAGTGAGCATAACCTTAATATCTTTATTTCATGTTTATTGTAACCGGGATGTGAAGCATCAGATTGTCATGCTCAAAAATAAGCTAAATCATATCCTATTCGACAGATTATAAATGTGACTTTCCAGTGGCAACGTGATCTTCGGTGATTACGAGAGAGATGAGGTGGAATGTAAAGTGACAATAGATGATATAGCGGCTGGTACTGAATGCGAACCTGCGATACTGCTGATGCCCATAGCTGATGTCCTGCTACATCCTGAGTACAAGCATTTCGGAGCCAGGTACAGCGTGGCGCTGCTGAAGTTGATCACGCCTGTTAAATCAAGTAAGGTTGAGTTGGGTTATAATAATGCTAGTCTTTAGTTTTACATAACATAACATCACGCCTTTTATCCCCGAAGGGATAGGCAGATGTGTACATTATACCACTGTACGATGTAACGCCCACTTTTCACTATTTATGTTATGAGGCCCATGTAATAGGGGGTGAGCCTATTGCCATATATCGGGCTATATAAACTCAGGTTTCTTCACAATGTTTTCCTTCATCATTCGTCAGTGGTGTCAAATAATCTTAGAAAGTACATATAATTAGGAAAAAAGTCACATTGGTACTTACCGTTGGTAGGTTTCGAATCCGCACCCTCATGAAGCGGGCGTCTTAACCTCCGGGACACCACGTTTCATTACATTGAGTGCAATATGTAAGATTGTTACTCTTTAAACCAAAATTGCTATAGGTACCGATTTAACCAATAGTTTTTTTTTTATAATGTTACAGATTAATTCTCCACGAACTCTAGGTCCGTGCCCTTGTCATACAATTTTTTTATTATAATACATCTAGTCAATTTTTATAAAGTAAAGAGGGAACCTAGTTACACACTACAATTAACTACATCTATAATTATTAACAATAATAATACCTTTTTTTCCATTATTCACAATAGTCCTACACTAACCAGGGACTTACCACCCACCCTTGGGTGCATTTCCATAGTGCATACAGGGATAGTCGCCGGTTTGTGTGTCCATTACATTTATATTAAAGTTGTCTAAAGGGCCTCTGCGCAGTTGGCTTCGGCCCCTCGTACGCCTCCCAAATGACCGGGACCCTGTGGTCCCGTGAATGGTAAAGACATACATAATAATAATAATAATAGCCTTTATTTAGATAAAGAAAAGAAAATAGAACAATTATTTGACAAACTGGACTTAATTTAACGTCTCAGCTGAATTGATGGCATTGACATCTTCATCAGTTTGCCCAGCTTTGGCAAAGGCCTCCTCCATTTCTTTCCATTCTGCTCTGCTGTAATTTATACTTTAGTAATAATTATAGATAGTAATTGGTAATAATATAGATCTGACTATCTATAATTATTACCAAAGTATAAATTACATAATAATTAGGCATTATCTATTTATAAGGCTTCATGAAATCAACCCACCAACAAGATGGGAGAGCCGACCTCACCCAGCAGAAGGCAGCCGTACACGAGTATGACGTGTGTGTCAGCAATTGGTCCGGTCAACCTTTTTATTGGGAACGGCATTTTTATTGGCAACCCAACACTCACCGCCACTGACTGTTTACTTGTTTCTTATCCAATAGTTTGTAACGTGGTTCTCATTCTCAGAATTCATGCTGCCAGCGTGCCTGCCCTTCAAAGACTACCTCACAGACAAGTCTGGAAAACTGACCAAACGGAGACTTTACCACGTTGATTTTGCTACTGGTGAGTTATGCACAAAGTCGCACTTTTATTCAGTCCAACATATGTTTTTATAATAACTATCGTGAGATAATTAAATTAACTAAAAATGGCGGGTTACTCACGTGAATATACTGAGAAAAGCTCTACTAGTTTCGAATCACAAAGGGGTGGATGTCGGGCACCCTACTGGCCAGCATTGACGCTCGCCTCGGTGTTGCTACTTTTTTTTTTAAAGGGACAAGCCCGCCACAACCTCCCAAAACCGCTGCAAATCCTGTAAGCCAGGATCTACAGTAGATACAACCATGAAAACACCGGAACATTGAAGTCCGGCGCGTCCCAGGGACATGAGTAACCGTCTTGGTTCCCGCAACGAAGTGAATCAGAAGATATTATAAAAGAAAAAGATAAAACTATAGTTTCCACTTCCCTCGGTGTTACTACTTGCGCATCTAACCCAACACGCCCACACACTGGTCTACTAGCGCAATTAACCTATTGCCGGTCCTCGTATAGCCGGTCTTTTGACTCCCGCGCAAAAACCGACGAAAAGGGAGCAGTGGGCAGGACGAGGAGCATTACATGTGGCATGACGAGAAATGTTGCCACAGATACATAGGTATCTGCCTCCTTTCCTCGTTACTTCTCATACCACTCGTCGAGTGTGTGGCAGGCGCATTACAGGACCTAATATCTCTAGCGCTAACCGATGAGTACCTACGAAGTTTTAGGTCGTCATCAAGCTAAGACTACTTGTTAAATTGCTAATTAACTTGCGGACACTAATAATGTCATTAAACGGTTTTGCTTCCTGGTCTCCAGTGCAGGTGACGAGGTCTGCTGGGTAAGTTGTGCAGAAATAAAGTTCCATGTACTAGTTAGAGGAAGACTGACAACGGATTCAGAGATCTCGTGATTTCGTCGTCACGGTTACATTTCTGTGAAGATAAATTATGAAAAACTAGCGTCTGCCCGCGACTTCGTACGCGTAATCCCATTTTTTCCCGTCCCCGTGATTTTCGGTAAAAAGTAAAAAAAAGTATTGGTTAAAAAGTCCTATGTCGGTCTCCTGGCTCTAAGCTACCTCCCTACCAATTTTCAGCCAAATCTATTCTGCCGTTCTTGAGTTATAAGTGGTGTAACTAACACGACTTTCTTTTATATATATAGAGGTAGATGATGAATATACTTTCAGATGTACCCAGAGACTTTATAGAAGAAGAAAAAGATGTTCAGAGGGTGTCTGTACTACCGAGAGAAGTCTGTTTTCTATATAATAAGGCGGACGTAAGTTTCTTTACTTTTTTTTTTGGGATAAGCCGGTAAACGATCTGACTGATCATCTGATGGTAAGCAATTGGCGCCGTCCATGGACACCCGAAACACTAGAGGCGTTACAAGTGCGTTACCGGCCTTTTGGGGATTAGATGTTTGAGGGTTTTTGGGGATTCAAGGATTAGAGCGATTGGTAAGGGGAGTAATAGGCCACCGGTATCCTCACTCACACGACAAAACATAGTGCAGGTGTTGTTTCACGTCGGTTTTCTGTGAGGCCGTGGTAACTATCAATCCGGTTGAGCCGAATCAAATTAATCAATCAATCTCTCCCACACTTACTTCGGTACACAGTACACAAATGTTTTACTTCAAAGAATATACCTCTACACTACACTTATATTTGGCGCCTGGATGAGGCGGGAGGGAGAGAACTTTGAGGAGCGCGTCATTCGATGATTTTCACCCCTTAAAAAAACCTTCTCCCGAGGGTAATTAACACTTTTTTGAAATCTGCATCAACATCGGTCAGGCCATTCGCGAGAAAATCGCGCAACAAACAGACATACATACATATAGGTCAACTAGAGAAACTCTTTTTATTTTTGAACTCGATTAAAAACCAGTGTAAGTTAGATAAAAGTTATTATAATTATCAAGGTATTCCTTTGTTCCCAGAACACAACCAAAATGACTCGAAACCGTATGACCTGTACGACTGGGTGTGGGTTCCACTCCGGTGCACCGACGCTGGTACACGAGCACACCGGCCACTGGTCTGTCGTTGCCTTGTCTCATGGTATGAATAGAAAAGATTTATTAATATTAATACTGCCTCATTGGCCGAGTGGTCGCAAGTGCGACTGCCGGGCAAGGGGTCTCGGGTTCGATTCCCGGGTCGGGCAAAGTATTACTGGGTTTTTAAAAATCTCAGTAGTAGCACGGAGTCTGGAAAAATGTGCCCGGTATATGGCAATAGGCTCACCCCCTATTACATGGGACTCATAACATAAATAGTGAAAAGTGGGTGTTACATTGTACAGTGGCATTAAGTGCCGAAATGTGCACCTCTGCCTACCCCTTTGGGGATAAAAAGGCATGATGTTATGTTATGTTATTAATATTTATAGATATTATTTTTTTATTTATAACTATCTTGAGATATACTGATTGAATTAACTGAAAAGAATCATCAAAACCCGTCCGTAAACGCCGGAGTAATAGCGTCATCATCAACAGCCTATAAGTGACCACTGCTGAGCAAAGCCTCTTCTCACACGGAGAAGGTTTGAGGAGTAATCACCACGCTTGCTCAATGCCGTGTGGCGATTTCAAACTTATAATTAGAAATTAGTTTCCTCACGATGTTTTCCTTCACCGTTTGTCAGTGGTGTCCAAATAATCTTAGAAAGTACATATAACTCAGAAATGTCACATTGGTACTTTGCCGTTGGTAGGTTTTAAAACCGCGCCCTCATCTATTAAAAACGGGCGTCCTAAGCCTAACCTCCAGCCAATCACGACACTAAGTAATCCCGAATAATCACGACACACAGACGAATTGAGAACCTACATTGGGAAGTCGGTTAAAAATAATGGTTTAGCTAAGTAAATACACCGACAAAAGCTGTACTAGCTTCGAGTTACAGAAGGACTCTTCATCATGAGCAGCGTCAGTATATTGCCTTCGGTAAACCGTTATTTTTAGTTAATTCGATATTGAATTTATTATTTGGTTACGTTTGTTGTCTGTTGAGTCCGCAAGCGATTCTGCCGCAACTTATAAATCTACGCGGACGAAGTCGCTTGGAACAGCTAGTGAAACCTGATGTCATTCAGACTATCTTAAATATTTTATGTGCTGCTTTATGTACGATGTTGGTCCTTCTATCCGTTGCTTTAAAATAAATTTCCAATGCAGGTGGGTCCCCCTGTCCAGATCCCCTGCGTACCCGTCGCCCACCACCGCCACCACACCATATTGTGATCCATCCTTACGTGCCGTGGATTACTGCTGCTATTACTGGCAAAGCTGTGGGAGCCTTCGCTAAGGACGATCCTTTTGGTAAAGATCATGTTCCATTAATTATTATCATCATCAAATAGAAGTGCTCCACTATTTTGTATGGAAAAGGAAACCAGCACGAGCAGACGTCAAGGTTTGCCGAACTATGGATCACGGCCCATTAGTGGGTTGCTATAGAAATTTAATGGATCTTGTTAGTAGATTAACACACTAACCAACTGTTCTGTATATTATTGCCTTAAGGTAAGTAATCAGTGCAGACCACCAATAACAGCGTATTAGGGAAAGTATCGGATTTTTCTTTAAAAAGAAGCACTTACGCTCTTTTCTTGAAGAATTGGGTAGTTGCCAACTAATCAAATTCAATACTTTTTTCGAACTGTCAAAAAGTACAGTTTCCTATGACTTTTCTACCAGATTGTGTATTGTGACGTCACGTTTTTTTAGCGTCAAACAGCATACTTATTTTTTATAAATTTGCTGGAAAAATACTAAAATTAAGTTAGCCATAAAATCAATTAATGAAAGTGCGATAAATTTGAAATAATTCATTTTTGATTAAGGAAAGTACCCAATTCTGCTGACTACTCTCGAGCAAAAGCATTATCTACATGTGGTTCTAAAATGCTCTCTGTTACCCAGGTTTTATCATGCCCAGAGCTTCAATCTACGATCTGATTGCCCACGGCTGGGTAGGCCACTGGTGGATGGGAGGACTCAGGTGCTATGACCGAGGAGAAGCCGCTGATGACCTGTTCAAGTTCTACCACGAGATATTCCAGATTAAACCGGTTACTGAGACCTTCCTTACGTATTATTTAGAGGTGGGTTTGGTAGTCATTCATTTCTTTACCAACTTTAGGTTTTATACGGGTAGGGTGGGAAACGAGCAGAGAGATTACCTGATGGTTATCAATTGGCTTCAACCATGGATACCCGCAACACAAATACCTTTTGGAGATGAAGGGATTAAGCCTCTGCAGTCATGTAATCTCACTGACAAGGTAAAACTCAACGTAAGCGGTATTTCACGCCAGTTTGCTGTGGACCCATGGCATCACGACTGCCTCTAGACCTATAAGTTGATTTTGTCTACAGATCGATGCAGCCAAGGACACGCTGATCATCTGCGTGAAGGTTGGTATGCCGTACCGGCTCGGCAAACCTCGAGTGTGGGAACTTGACAGTCCTATTGTTAAGGTATTGACGGTTTTCATACATTATAGACCATACCGCTACTGGTCGGGTGTTATTTTTATATATTTTTAAGTAGTATTTAAAAAAATGTAGCAGCTCACGACATACACGACGCAAGACATCGCCGCGATCGCGCACGCTGCACATGAGGAAGAACCCCTTTGTGGTTCGAAACTAGTAGAGCTTTCTCAGTACATTCACGTCAGTAACCCGCGATTTTAGTTAACTATCCAAAGTCACTATTCCACACGTGTCGCGGGCATCTACTAGTTTTATGTTTTATGAATTATTAGCTTTTACCCGCGGCTTCGCTCGCTCGTCACAAAAGGATAAAAAGTAGCCTAAGTGACATATACCAATACACACAGTGCCATCTATACCAATACTTTTGTTTTTGCTCGGGAATATTAATTTTTTTTAGGGTTATAAAGTACCCTATTATTTAATCCGGACTTCTAACTTTACGTCTGCAAAAATTCAAAGCAATCAATCGGTTTAGTAGTTACGGCGTGAAAGTGGAACAAACAAACTCACTTTCCGATTTATATTATTAGTAAGGATAGTAAGGATTGTATGTAAATAATATCTATATATTGCAGGTCCGCATCCCAATGATAAGGTTTTACGATACGTACAAATTTCAAGTGGAGGCGTGGGCCTATAATACCACGGAATCAGATGAGTCTAGCAAAGTGACCAGCGAGTCTAGCGAAGAGAAGAGCGACAGCAGCGAAGAAGATAGGAGAAGAATGATGAACCATAGGATTTGAGAGAAGAAAAATGTTTGAATAGTATTAATATATCTAGTTCAGTGCAAATTGAGTATAAATAAAATGAAATAAAAAATAAAACACCCTTTATTTCCCAATACCCTTAAATACTTACTTAAGTAGACTTTTTAAAATATAAATGTCAGGTTAACGTAGGGGCAAGTCCCTTAACGCCGGACGGCACCTAACGTCGGACACTTGTATTTTTAGTTACACTGTATCGCTCGTGTTATCAGTTATCAGTTATCGAGATAATACAAGTGTCCGGCGTTACGGGACTTTCCCCTATGTATCATTTATAATCAGGTAGCCAAGATTATCCAGCAGCAACTTGCATTGCACTATCGACTGGTTGAGTCTGAGGTACGGTACTACAAGTATGTGCCCGACCCAGTTCTGGAAAATGACCATATCACATTGTACTGGAACCGGTCTATCATTACTGACGGGACATTTTGGCGCTGACAGGATATTATTATAGCTGACATTTTGGCGCTTCCATCATTGCTAAGTGACATTAAGTCCACCTTTTTTTCAATGTCCTTGCCTAACATTATAAATATGAGAGTTTGTCAGTTTATGTGTAAAGTAAGTGTGGGAGAGCCATGCTTCTGCACGAATGGGTCGGCTCGACCGGAGTGATACCACGGCCGAGCAGAAAACCAACGCTTGCGTTATTTCGTTGTATGAGTGAGGTTATCAGAGGCCCAATTACCCCGCCCCACCCTTCCCTAATCCCTGAATCCACAATCCTCAAATTCCTAATCCCAAAAGGCCGGTAACAAACTTGCAACGCCTCTGGTGTTCCGGGTGTCCATGGGCGACGCCGATTGCTTACCATCAGGTGATCCGTTTGCTCGTTTACCGGCTTATATTATAAAAAAAACTCAATGACGTCAAAACGGCTGAAGGGATCAGAATGACATTCGGAACAAGGGTAGATTGCGTTTTGGAATAACACTTTTTTTTTTTTTTAAGGGGGGAAAATCATCGAATGACTGCTCCCGCCTGGGTGAGGCGGAAGGGAGTGTCAGACTCTTACTGACTAAAAACCACCCCGTTCCTTCTCCTGCACGTCGAGCCGGAGCCCCGGTTACCCGTTAGGTTCTCCGCGACTCCGAATCGGCATCGGCCCTATTGGGCCCCATCTGTGGTTGTCTGATGGCTCTTTGAGGCGCGCGCGGAACGCGACGCGCCGTACGCCGCTGTTTCTGGTCGGACGGGGAGCCACCCATGCTCGCCGTCCGCAGGCCCACGGTTACGGTGGCCGGAGATCGTCTCGCGATCCCCGCCGCCCGGTGTGTCTTTCGCGATGGCTGGGTTGCGAGGAGGCAGCGCTTCGCTGGAATAACACTTAGGCTACTTTTTAACCCCGACAAAGCCGCTAGTAGAAGCTAGTAGTAGCTGCTTGTCCTGTATTTCTCTTTGACGCGAAAACTACTGAACGGATTTGAATGAAATTTGGTACAGAGGTATATTATACTCTGGAAAGACACATAGTCTATGTTTATTCCAGTGACAAGGTTGAAAGTAGCTGGTAGAAGCCGATCCTTTATAGATTTTAATCTAAATAGACTTATGAGCGTAAAACACCGGGATAGACATATTAATGGTTTCTTTTGTAGTTTATTCAGATAGGCTAGCAGAGCGCAGTAAGGTTGATATTAAAATACAGCGATGTACCTTTATGGACGGGTATAATAAAGACTTTGATCAGTTCACGATGTGTCACTGTATTGAAGAAACAGTATTATAACTTGGAGAATTGATTTATTTTATACTAGCTGTGCCCGCGACTTCGTTCGCGTGGTTGTCGAAAACAAAACAACATCGTTTAGATTACAGTGGGCTATATACATATGAACTCCACTCAAGAAAGTGGTATAGTATTTGTTTTGCCAATAAAGATCCTGGCTATAGTATATTTTTATTTGGTAATATTGGTATCTAGTTAATTACGTTAATGCTTCCCTATATACTATATTAGCGGTTGAATTACCCGGAGCGTGATACAAAAACCGTTTTGTTTTTTTTTCTGTGAGGTATTTTTAAGGAAAATATTAAAGTAATATACAAAACCGACAAAATTTTAAAGATCGGTGCATCGAACAGTCTCGTATGATAGCAAATCGTCTGTTCGTGGTCACGACTTAACGAATTCAAACTCAGAAGTAAATACTTCTACTTTAGGGAAGATAAGTATTTACTGGTACAGGTATAAAAACCTAGTTTGAGCTTACCAGTACGCATACTGGGTATGTAAGCAGAATCCCGGTCCCTATTCGTTCCGCTCGTATTCATGACCTTTGATCTCGTGTAAAATGCCGACATCGTTTAGAGTCTAGACAGTAACGCATCGGCCAGGGTTGTCAAAAATATGAGCTTATGGCACCGACTAAAAGTTGGTCAGTGCGTGAGTAACTAATCAGTACTAATATGGTTATTTTTTTGCTTTTTAGTTTTTAGTTTTTATTTGTTTTTAGTTTTTAGGTTTTTTGAGAAGTCGGTTTTTTAAACGCAGTTTTTTTGTATTTTGTCATTTTTAGTGTAAAACTACATAGACCCGTTTTGCCACTTATAATCCACATAGGTGCAAAGTTCTAAGCAATACAAATTATACAAACCCAAACAAAATGTAGTTACGTGAAAACAACACCCATGACGATAAATTGAAACTTTCATGCAGCCGCCATCTTGGATTTAGATCCCGACAGTGCCATCATTTTCACCGCCCTCAAAAACCATGAAAACGATACCCATGATGATAAATTAAAAATTTCGGGCAGCGGCCATCTTGGATTTACATTTTGACAGCACCATCGGTTTTACCACCCTCGGAAACCACGAAAGCGACACCCATGACGATAAATTGAAAATTTCATGCAACGGCAAACATACATAAAAAGGAAACAATCATTCGAACATAGTGCCTCCTACTTTTTTTGAAATCGGTAAAAACAAACATGCGTTAGCCCTGAATAATATATCCCGAGCTACTAACATCGTTTTCGCAGCTCGGGATCGGCCTACCTGCGTCTCGCCCTTCACACCCCGCACGATTGCCCTGTCTAGACGTCTTCGTTGGACGGCTGTATAGACTGTGACAGAACTGACAGTACGGCCCTATTGACCGGGTCTGACTGACGCCAATACCCAGTGTGGTCGTTCATAATCATAATGCAGCTCGCCTCGCGCTTGCCACTCACGCGGAGAATTACGATTTTACCCGAACGATCACGACGCTTCCCGAATACACTCGGTGATACAAATTTGTTCTTTATTTTTACGTGCATTCAGAAGCTTATTGCGTAATAATGTTAAAGAGAAATTTGAAATATTAAATCTTTTTTCTGTAAAAAAAGTTATTTACGTTAATAAAGATAAAAGTGATATTACTGAACGGAGATCGCAACTTGGGAGTCAAAATTAGCGGCGGGGATTGCGGGACGATCGCCGGGCACCGTAAGCGCGGGCCTGCGGGCGGCGAGCATGGGTGGCTCCCCGTCCGACCAGAAACAGACCGAGCGTACGGCGCGTCGTGTTCCGCGCGCGCCTCAAAGATCCATCAGACCACCACAGATGGGGCCCAACAGGGCCGATGCCGATTCGGAGTCGCGGAGAACCTAACGGGTAACCGGGGCTCCGGCTCGACGTGCAGGAGTCCTGCACGTCGAGCCGGAGCCCTCTCCTGAGTCATCCTCCGTCGAGTCGGAGACTCTCCTGCAGTTTGAAGTTTCGGGAGGTACCTGTCTCATGGGGCGGGAGGAAACGCCCGGGTGTCATCACTGCGAGGACCACCCTGAGGACACGGTGGAACACACTGTTGCGGAATGCCCTGCGTGGGCTGAGCACCGCCGTGCCCTCAGGGAAGTGATCGGCGATGGAGACCTCTCGCGTCCGGGCCTAGTGCAGGCCATGATGCGGAGCGAGGGGGAATGGGATGCCGTCTCCTCCTTTTGCGAAGCAGTCATGCTGGCTAAGAGAGAGGCGGGACGCGTGAGGCAGCGAAGCGCTGCCTCCTCGCGACCAGCCATCGCGAAGGACACACCGGGCGTCGGGGATCGCGGGACGATCTCCGGCCACCGTAAGCGCGGGCCTGCGGACGGCGAGCATGGGTGGCTCCCCGTCCGACCAGAAACAGACCCGAGCGTACGGCGCGTCGCGTTCCGCGCGCGCCTCAAAGAGCCATCAGACCACCACAGATGGGGCCCAATAGGGCCGATGCCGATTCGGAGTCACGGAGACCTAACGGGTAACGGGGCTCCGGCTCGACGTGCAGGAGAGGAACGGGGGGTTTTTAGTCAGTCAGAGTCTGACATTCCTTCCGCCTCACCCAGACGGGAGCAGTCATTCGATGATTTTCCCCCCCTTAAAAAAATAGCCTATTCTACTTGTTTAAATATCATGTAGTATCTTTACTTCGGACTTCAACCAATGACCAAACGAAACCAATTTTCCAAAGGGTGTCGTTTCGAGTACTTATCTCAATTGCGTGTTGTAATATTTTACTTCTTGAACTCACTAAATTAACCATATCTTCTGATGGAGTGAACCGATTTCGATGAAACAAAAACTAAGTTATACCTCAGTTGGTAGATTGTATATAAGCAATGTCTGAATTGAATCGTAGATTTTACGTGATGCGCGCACAAACAAACAGACAAACAGACAAACAGACAAAAATTTCAAAAATGATGGAAATGGGTTCTGTTAGTTATCTTTTAACACGCTGGCTATTTTTTTTGTCAATTTCTTCAATGTACAAAAATTACTTTTCTACAGATTTATTATATGTATAGATGTGCCCGCGACTTCGTTCGCGTGGTTGTCGAAAACAAAACAACATCGTTTAGATTACAGTGTGGCATATACATATGAACTCCACTCAAAAAGTGTATAGTATTTGTTTTGCCAATAAAGATCCTGGCTATAGTATATTTTTATTTGGTAATATTGGTATCTAGTTAATTACGTTAATGCTTCCCTATATACTATATTAG